ATCACCATCTGTATTTCTCAGTGTGCATGGCTGCTAGTGTTATGCCCATGTCGAGGAACCGCCATGAGACCACAAGTAGCCAGAGTACAATGCAATCACACAAGGGTCATTTCAAAGTTAACATTGGTCCACTAAGCCCCACACTCCCATGCAGAGGAGGGGATAATGTAGCACATAACACAAAGGAACACAGGTTTTTAAAGAAAAGATCATGAGCAGGGGAGTTTATGTGCCCTGGCATTTTAGGATTAGGTCAGTGGGTACTTGGTGCAAGGCAATTTTTAAAAATTATTCATCAGGCCATTGGCACCAACCCATAAACATCTAGCAGGATATCTGTACATACATCTGGAAACCATTAACTTCAGATAGGTTGTCTGTAGTACACCTGGAACTTACTGCCCTGTCCTCTGACTGCATCGAGGTGCTTGCTCACATTTTTGCTGCCACAGCACATTCCTAGGGCTAGGTTCAGCCCCAGGTTGCCAGATACTTTAAGATGGGGACCTCACACTAGGACTGGCTCCTAGATTTCTGGTTTCAGTGCAACCATCTTTGAAAACATTTCAAAATGTCCTCAACTGCTTGGTTCTATACCCAATTATTTTGTTAGTGGTAAATTATTCTTTCATGTCTGATCTGAATATATTTTATTATATTTTATATTGTTGAATAGGGAAATGTAATTTGTTAAGGTCTGTACTTACCAGATTACCCCAAGCCTGTTTTTGGCCATGCCTTATTGCCAACACCTTTGTGTTTCTTTCCTGTGTCCTGCACTGGACACTCTTCTGTTGACCTACTTGTTATTGTTCATCAAGGTACAATAAAAATTTTTGGGGGGAGCTAACATTTTTAGGGTCTCAAATTCTAGAGCATATTATTCAAACTTTTCCTATTTAGAACTTTTTAATATAACTCCTTTTACCTTGCTCAATAAGTAAATGAAAGGAAGGAAGGAAGAATGTATCTCATAGTTGCCCCTTAGACAAAACAATTCTTTCTTTGGATCTTCCCAGGCCTTAATATGTACTCATTTCACAGCATTTACCACATTTTGTGTAAAGGTAAATTTGTTTATATGTAAGGTCCCTTTCCCCTCAGTGAAGTTGTAAGTTCCTGGAATTTTTTTTAAAAATGGAAGTTCCATTTTTATTCTACATTTCCTAAGCTGAGGGGTATAAATAATTATATCATGTACCAACT